CAGGGGAACATTCTCCCCTTTTATTACTGAAAGCCATGGGCTCAGGGGACTACCCCAAGTCAGTCAATGACAGACTCCACAGATCAAAAGTTCTGCATTCCAGATGCCTGCTCTAAACGCAACTCTTAGAGAAATGTCATCAAATTATGCAACAGAGACATGCACATAGGAAGAGAGAGGGCCCCAAAGAGAGGAAGGGCGAACACAGCCGTGCTGAAAATACTCCTTTCCATCTTTCACTTTCTAGTCATCAGGAATGCTGCTGCTGGGCTGGGACAGGAAGCAGCATGGAAGTCATTCCAATGGCATTTCCTGAAGAGCTCTACAGAAAAACCTCCCAGTTCCGAATCAGCCTGAGCCACTGCTGAGCAGGGCCTGCAGCCGAACCCAGCTTCCAGGCTGCAGCAACCGGGTGCTAGCCAGCCCATTTTCCCAGCCAGCTCTGAGTGAGTTTTCCTAAGGAAATGGATCTTTGTGCAGGGAGTTCCTGGATCTTGCCCTGCTGGTCCATCAAGCAAGGCCATAAGCCTGGAGAGGAGGACTTGCCAGGGCTCCAACAGGGAAAGAAGAAAACTGCCTGATGCCTGGAACAGTAGTTATGCCTCACAAGCAGGCAAGTCCTAGAAGGTCTTTCCCCCCACCCCCCATGGTAAGCAGAGAAGAGGCACAGGGCAGGTTCTCAGGCAGAAGGAAGAGAAGAGCCAAGCACTGCTGCCTGGGAACAGAGTCCTAGCTTTAGATTCCAATCCCCATCAGATTTATGAAAGGTCAGAGCCCAGCAAATGTCCTGGAATTACCATGGTGCATACCTGGCGGTGCAGCTCTCAATGCCTGGATCACTGGAGGGTTACAAATGCCACAGCACTTGTTCAGACGTGCACAGGTGCTAAACCCACAGCCTCGGCCCCTCTCAGCTTTGCTGATCTGGGTTCCCTAGCTGGTTCGCATAGACACTGCCCCTCTACTTTGGAGGCAACACTGCTCATCACCATATCTGAGTGCCTGCTCTTCCTTACATGTCTCAGAACAGTGGTCCTCAACCTTTTTACACTGAAGGTCCCCTCCATAGCTGTTGTGAATTGAGTGGCAGGCACTCCACTTGAAAACCTGGTCTATACATTGCAGTGTTTACCTTCATGCAGAGGAAGTGGGGGGTGTGGAAGTGGGGGAGCAGTCAGGCAGGGAGAGATAACTCCTTATCTCCTAGCACCTGAAGCCTGAGCCTGCCCTTATCTGCTTATCTCCTTGCACCTCCTGCTGCACCCTTCAGAGGATCTTGAGGTCCCTGGTTGAGAATCTGTGCCTTAAAGCACTCGTCCAGTGCTGTCCAGGGCTGCTGTGTTTAGCAGTAGCTGCATCACACCCAGGGGAAGCTGTCTCCACCTGGAAGATGCAATGCATGCTGTGAGCTCTCTGAGCTGCATCACACCTGCTACAATCACTTGCAATAATCAGAGTTAGCCTCTGAGTGTCACATCACATGACAGAAATCTTGCCAGGTTTGGGTGACCCAAACCCTCCAACAAGGCTAAAAAAACACTGACCAGCGCAACCTGCAGAGGCACTAACAGTGGCTGAGGCCCCCTAAGATGGCAGCATGTGTCCCACAGGACAGCTAGGTTTGGGAGACCATCTAATTTGCTTTTCCAGTTAAAGCCAGACTGGTGCCTGCACTCATGTCCGGCACTCAGGCCTCTCAGAAACTACTGCAGAGTCCATCCCTGTAGTCACTGCACTGTGTACACTTCAGAGCAAGACAGAGATTCCAGACAGGCTGCTCCCAGCTCCCTCATGCTGCTGCAGTGGGAGAAGGAGGGAAGACTTTCCTGAAGGGTCAAGAAGCAACACCTCTGGCTCTAGCCCTGACAGCATTCAGAGGGTGAGTTACCAGCTGCATCAGCGTGTCATATGACAAGCATCTGAGTCACTTCCCATCATTCAAAAAAAAAAAATAAATCACAAAATGGGTTCTCTATTCTTGCAGCTTTGGAAGGGTTTTCCCCTGGCTCAGCCACAAGTTCTGGCCTGCAAGGCAGCAAGACCACACAGCAGATTCAGCCTGGCTAGTGCTCAGTAACAGTGAATACCTGGGGAAGGTAAGAGGAGGAAGGTGTAACCATGTTCTCCCTGGTCCACTCCTTCCAGTCCAGTCCAGTCCAGTCAGTCATGATTCCTATCATGGCATCTCCCTCCCTTCCCTCGGGAGTCTGTTCTGTTACAGCCTGTGGCTGAAACAGTTCTTTCCAGAGGGCGGTTTGAGCCGCACTACCCATGCTAGCTGCCTTTGCTTAGTCTCAAGCCATCCTGGACTATTCTGCCTGCACGGTGCCAACATATCACAGGTTCTCCATGACTCCATCCACACAAATCCAAGATGTTAGGGACCCACATGTATGACCAGTTGGGCAGGGCTGAGGGCCCAGGGTACCAAAGGCAGTAGGCAAACCTCCCAGATGATGGTGCCTGCAGCCCCATCAGTCAAGCCCACCTCAAGAAAGCCAAGGTTTCTGCCTGACATCGGAGCCCCAGTCCTCCCATCTCAGGCACCAAGGCAGCCCTTGCACTGGCACAAGCCATGGGAGAGCAGGGACTCCTGGGTGAGCAGACTGTATTGCTTCGGAGGCTGCTGCTCTCCTGTCCCCTCAGAGACTTTCCAGGAAGTGAAACACTGAGACACGCTAGAAAACACCAGTCGTCTGGTACATGCCAGCAGCAGGCTTGCCAGAACTTGCACGCCTCTCCTTGGGACCTGCCTGCCTGCTGCACCTCTCCGAGAGCATTGTTTGAATGGGCAGGGGGAGGGTGGGGGGTTGGCCTGCTCAGCCTGGGACCAGTAACCCCGTGTAGGTAGGCCCTGTCACTGCAGGCAGGCAGGGAGCAAAGGGCCTGTGGCAGAATGAGATGGATGGAAGCCATCAGTTCTCACCACAGCTGGAAATGGAGTGAACCAGAGTGCACCTGTAAACCCATCACAGTGAAGTTGCTCTGGAGCCTTTACAACTACCTGTGATACTGGTTCAACGTTAGTACAGTTGGTACCAGCATGAAGCAGAGACACTGGGAGACGCAATTGCTGACAAGGCCAAAAGCCCAATGACAGCCATCAAAGCAACCAGTTTGGAACCTGGCCCCAAACCCCAGTTAAGGGACTCCCATGGCTGCAACCAACAGCTGGCAGCCTGACACACCTTAAAAACAGCCCAGACACTGCTGCCTGTATGACACCATCTGACCAGCTGGCAACTAATGGTACCACCCAGCTAACACAGTCAAACCCACCCCAGGAGGCTAGCAGCACAGAGAAAAGCTGTTTCTCCTGATGGGAGATGGCTGGAGATCTGAAGAGCAGGAACCAGTGGGTGTGTCAAGCACACAAGAATCCTGCCCCTCATGCAATCTGCTAAACAAATATTTGCTCCAAACAAGGAATCTGTGCTCAGACAAGAAGAAAGAGCCTTAGCAGTGATACTAGGTTGGGTGAAAGGGATTGGGGGGGGGGGTGGAAGAAAGGGTATTACATTCCCAACAAGAGGGACCAGTGATTTTCCATCAGTGATTTAATCTAAATCCCCAGGGAATTCACTTACAAAAATCAGACTGCATTATCTCCAGGGTCTCCAGGCTACAACCCAATCCTCACTAGCAGCAGCCACATGGACTCGCAAACCTCTACTCAAGCTCTTGGTTCTAGGACTAATCTCTGGCATTAAGAGCCAAAGCTGGTGGGGGGTATTGTTTGCATGGGGGTTGCAAGGCAGGGAAGAACCCCAGCGCCATCCGCAAAGCAAGGGGGCTGCTTGTAACAGGAAAAAAATCCAGTATGTTCAGGCAGCCACGCCCCAGGCAGCGGCCCCAGGACAACCACATTCCAGGCATTCCTCGCCCTGGGTGCTCAGGCTCCCTGCTGCCTCCACCCTGGTGTTGAACCTAACACTGGCTTTCCACAAACTCCAAGAGGCCCTTCCAAATCACCTGTGCCACTAGCAGCCAGAATGCGAGGCCGGGCTGAAAGGAACCGGTCCCCATGCTCCCCCAGAGCTTTGGGGAGGGATTAGTGGTTATGGCTACAGAGATGTTAAGGTGAATGCAGCTTTTCCCCACTGCTACAGGTTCACCAGTGAGCAAGGGTGTGATATTCCTCTATTTAAATGCCAGGAGCTGGCACTGTCCTCCCTTCTCGGCAAATACTAATACAGGCAACATCACAGGGACGTGGGAGTAAATAGGAAGCGAGATCATCTGCAGACCATAATACCTCCCCCTGGCAAAATTCCACAGCAAAATCTCACAGGCCTAAGCACTTCCACAGCTCAGGCAGCCCAGACGCTACCAAAGCATGTCTCTGGAACACACAGTAACATTCATACAAGCCTGTGGACAGCATCCCGTGTACACTGCTCAGGATCCAGTGGGCAGCAGCAGGCTCTTTGCACTGACTCTCCACTTCAGTGCTACCTTGCAACGCTCTGCTGATCTAGGGCCAGGCTGCCAGGTAATGCAGAGGCCCAAAGGAATCAGGACAATCTCCAGCCCACTCCACTTGCAAATGAAGCAGACCAGGGGTTCCCGTTTCCATTGCCTCAGACCCCGCTACACCAAACAGTCCAGGCCTAGCACTAAGAGGCCCCAGCTGAACAAAGAATTGGCTCAGCCCTGGGCTGGGTCACTGACACTCCAGGTCAGACCTAAGAGATGGGCCTTCTGTTTCAGATAAAGCCTGGATTGTAGGTGCACAAGGCTCTGGGAAACAGGCCTTTGTACAGAATAGCCAAGGAGATAGGCAAGACAGAGGGATGAAAAGGGCCGACCAGAGGGCAAGCCTGGGTAGCATCCCCTTGCTCCACGACAATGGAGTGACCCCTCATGGCAAAGAACACAATGGGAAAGGACCTTCACTAGTTGTTCCACCCTGGGCACCAGGGACAAGGGCTAGGATGTGCAATGCTGTTAGTCAGGCAGAGGAGAATGGGGAGCTCTCCCTTGGAGAAGAAGCTTCTTACCCAACCGCCGTTCTCCTGGATCCAGGGGTCGAGGTGGTCGGTCAGGTAGGTGGTCATCCATGAGACGATACGTCCAACCAGCACCTGCATTTCCTTGTCGACGCTCTCCACACACAAGGCCCCTCCAAAGGAGAAAAAGGCCACGATGCGCCCCCAGTTCACTCCATCCCGGAACAGTTCATTCACCACCTGCTCGAAGCTCTGGTATGCTGTGCCAGGGGTGATGTGGAGCTGGGATGTGAGGTCGCTGAAGGCCCTGCGGTACCTCAGCTCAAACTCATCTCCCGCCTCCCTTAGTGCCTGCCGCACTTCAGCCGCCGGAACACTCTCCTGGGCTTCCAGGTTGTTCCTGTGTCCAGCAGCCCCATTCACTACGTGGCTGGCAGTGGGATGCCAGGACGGACTCCCATTCGGGACACTTGCCATGTCCTCCTCTTCTGCAAACTCAGTCCTGGTCTCATCTTGCCCCTCAAGCTGACTCCAGCTGTGTCCCCGCTGTGACAGCTTGTAGGATATAAAGTCAATCACTAATTCCCGGTTGCTGCTCGACATTTTCACACTAGGGAGATTCTCATCGAGTCCATGGTCCAGAACACCAGTGTGCTTACCCAGTCCAGACTCTCCTCTTCTCCAGGATCTGTGCAAACATCTGACCTCTGAGCAGACAATTAGAAAGCAGGGAAGAAAGAGGCAAAAACACATTAGCAATGCAGCATTTTACTTCCACTTGTAGCATTAACAACAGCAGCTTCTTATTGCTCAGAGAAAGCAAGCATCCTTGAAGCTACACCTCAGGCTTCAGGATTTAGTCTCCCAGAAAACTGGCAGCAAAACATCCATTTCAGCAACAACTAGGCTAAGCCCCCTTGGATTTGCTTTACAAATGACTGCAAGTCGCATGCACACGCAACGCATCCCATTCAGCCGCCTTACATGGTCCAGGTACAGCTTGAGAGCTCCTTTGTGATGTAGCTCCACATAGGGTCTAGGGGGTCTACACCCTCTGCTAAAGGTCTAGGAGGCTCAGTCTCCAGCCTCCAGCTCTGCCTTGTCTCAGGCAAAGCCTTAGAAGGAAAAGCAGCTCTGGCTGAAGTGATCATGCCATGCTGCATGCTGGAAACACGAAAGCACAGCGAGGCCCTGAAGCCCCAGAAGCTCACCCTCTGCCTATTCCTCCATTACCTTGATTGAGTGCTGCAGCTCTGCAGCAGAGAAGCAAAACGCCCTCCCTCCTTCCCTCTCAGCCTCACGCCCCTCGGTCTCCGCCTCCCATAGAAGATCAAAGCTCTTCCTGAATTTTTTAAAGGGACCAACAGCACTGGGTGAGGCCTTCAAAATATGTGCTTGTGCTCTATTGCCCAACAATGGCACATTAAAAGAACAACGCAGCCCTCTTCCCAACAACGAAGGAGGCTCTGAAACAATAGCAGCTGGCAGCCAGCACAAGGGAGTTTGTTTGAAGCTTAAGGCATCATTTTCCATTTTCCGTTCTAGAAAGGATTAGCCCCGGTCGAGTTTCACCAGCTCCCAGGTGTGCTGAAGATGCACAATTCCTCTGGCCGGACCTCTGGAAGTGTTACAATGGACCCCTTGCATTTCAGTGGGATCCCAGGAGCTACAGTCTCACTCCCCAAACCTCCCCTCTCAAGAACAGTGGCAGAGGAAGGAACACAAAAGAGCTGTAGTGCTCCTAAGAGGTTGGGAAAGACTAGAAGCCTATTAAATCTACAGAGTATTACCTACCTACGTAGTTAATAGGTCAGTAGGAGGAGGAACGTGTACAATCATGGATAAGGAAACACAAGATCTAACGCCCGGCAGCATTTTGAGGGAAACCCCAGCATTCCAGAGAATTATGCTGACATAAGAGAGGAGCAGAAATGCCTCTGAGGAAGTGTGTCCTAGATACGTTCTTTTCCCAGTACACCACACACACAGACACTCTCTGTAGTGGAGAAGTGACTTACCCCTAATGTTATTCTAAGCAGTCATTTTTCTGGAACCAGATTATTAACAAACCTTACTGCTCCAGAGCTAAGTGCTCCCTCCCCACAGAGCATGCACTGGACAGGCAGCCATGGCACTGGCTTTGCTTGCATCTCAGCACTCCTTGTTTACAGGATTGTCCTCACTTCTGGGTTTGCACTGGAAGCAGCTACTCTCTGCCCCATTTCCACCCCACGCTCAGGCCTGGAGGGAGAGGATATGCCGGGTGGCCCCACCTTGCCCTTTCCGGGTGCACCAGGGACAGATACACAGGCTCTGTGGATTCCTGCTGGGGAGGGAGCATGTGTGTTTCTGTACTCACCCCCAGAGAGGAGCTGCAGGGAGAAAACTCTGGGCTGGGAAATCTCAGCAGGCTGCGCCTCCTGGACCAGCTGCAGAGACACTTCAGATCAGTAATTTGACACCAGGGACTACTCCCTTCCCCGCCCACAAAGCACAAGCCCCGCCCCCACCCTCTCCAAGTCCCTCCCTACTCATCTCTGCTAAAGGGCAGATGTTAGGAGGAACTCCATACATGCCAGCACTTTTCCCTCTCTAGGGCACCCCTGGAAGGCTCCTCACCGCAGCATCGGGGTGACAGATACAAAATTAAGGCTTGCCTTAAAAGACCATGCAGTTGGTTCAGCTATTCGTATAGAGGAATCTAAGGGATTTTTCGACCTCTGTCAGCCCAGGTGGGATTTCCCAACACCCACAGAAGATGTGCCAGCTCAGCCTTGCTCTCGCTTCCCCTGCTGGGACGTTCCCATCGGGGACCAAGACGGTGGAGTTTCCCTGGGGCTCTGCAGCATCCCTTGGTTGCAGGCAGAGATGCGACCTCCAAGGGAGTCGGGCTCCAGTCCGCTGTTCACGGAGCAACGTTCAGGTGTTTGACCCGCGCACGGCACGAAGACAGTGCGAAGCGCCAGTGCTGCTGGGCCCTTTCGCATTGCGCGAGCTGGGGTTTCCCAGTGCCCTCTGCTGCTCACCCAGGAGGGTGAGCCAGAGGTTTTCATTAGTCGCCAGGCGGGCAGACTCGTCCAGGAGCAGAGGCTACAAAGACAGCCCACGGCCGCCACGCACCCCTGCACCTCCACGGGCCAGAAGGAGAGGACACCGTGGCCTCATGTGGGTGCCCAGGGTGCGCCCCCCCCAGTCTCCATAGCAACCAGCCAGGGGTCCTGCTGGGGTCGACATCCCCGTTCGCGTGGCTGGGGAACTGCTGTGCCCCGCCCCCGCACCAATCCCAGGCAGAGAGGCGCCGGGGGGCGGGGACCCATGGACGGCGCGCTCCTACTGGCTGCCCTCCGTGTCCCTCACGCCGCCCTCACCTGAAAGGCCGTTGAAGGGCCCAGCCCCTGTCCCTTCCCTCCCCCGGCGGAAACGGGTGCCGCGGCTGCCCCTCAGGGCTCCGAGCCGCCTCAGCGGCCCCCGGCCGCCGTCTCCATCGCCCGTTCAGCGGTAGCCGCCCTCCTCAGCGGCTGAGGGAGGGGAGTGCGCATGCGCGAGGGCCGTGCCGGCTTGGAGCCCCGAGGGCGCATGCGCCATTCCGGGGCGGGGGGTAGGAGGGTGAGTAGTGGCGCATGCGTAAGAAGGGGGCGGGACGTTGTTGACCTAGTGCGCATGTACAGGCCGTTGGCTACGTCAGAGCGTAGGACTTTGGCGCCCCCTCTCGGCTGCACTAGGGAATGGGCGGGTTGGTGTTAAAGGGCCAGCGTCCTTATGCTGCAGGGTGGGGAGGCGAGAAAGGGAGGGGTAGAGCCGCTTGGTCAGACTCAGGATGCTGCAAGAGCACCATAATCTGCACCCATTCCCTTACTGACCTGGGTGGCAGG